GAGAATAAATAGAATATATATATATATATTGTAAAATATTCTACGACAAGAATAAATAGAAGATATATTATATATATATCTTCTATTTATTCTTGTCGCAGAATATTTTACAATATATAGTATTTTATAATATTTAATATTTTATAAGATATCTTCTATTTATTTTCGTCGTAGAATATTTACCGAGAGAAAAATTATATAATATATATTACATAATTTATATATAATATATATATTAATATTAAATAAATAATATATATGCTATATCATCTATTTATTCTTGTCGTAGAATATTTACATTTTATTCATACATATAATAGAACATATATATTGCTGACATGACTTTTTTCCACCTAGATTGTCGATTTGCATTTTCGCCGACGGAATATCGACCGGTAAAACCGAAATCGTTCGAAAACCTGCGGAAGCTTTTGATCCAGACTCCACTGGTTTTCCAGCCGATCGGCAATTTGCCCAATTACCCGAATAACATGCATTTGCGGCGTCAACTGCGAATTATCTACGCAACAGGCATTATCTATGTTAAGTAGAAATGATCTGGTTTAGAGGCGCCGTCTATAATTTACGCGGAACTTCGGTCGAACCAGTTAAATCGCGTTTCTCGTAATGCCGGTTGCCAGTTCGCGTCCCTACGGCGCGGCGCGGCGGTGGCCTCCAACACATTCAACATCAAATAACACGTTGTTAGGTAGCAGCGTCTTGCAAACACGAGGCACCTGGGTACGCTACGAAAACACAAGCTCGGGATCCCGAAATTTCCAGTAACCGAATCACATTTGCAACTTCATCTCCTTCCGCAAACACGTTTTCTCGCGTCTCGCGCGCAGTCGATTTCACCGCGGAGGCTCTAAAAAGACAATATTTCTATTTCCCCGAAAGGAAATTGCAAACAATCGATTTTTCCATTCGTTGCTTCGCCATTGTTTTATGCGGGGAATCCAACATGAATTGCGCTATTCTGTAATGTTCTCTTGGATTCTTCTTTTGCGAGGAAACTGTGACGCCTTATGCGATCAGATTTATTAGGTTCATTTGTACAGGTTTATGACAACATTTACAAATTTTTTGGCTTCAGACATGTTAAAAATGATGGCATCGGCTTGCTTTGAAACGTTGGG